TTCATAGCCAGAACGGTCTTTCTGGAGATGGGTTTCTATTGCATACGGTCTGGTTGCAGCTGTGTAGGTGGATACTGCACAAAAGCTGTGGGTGTTGCTATTGGTAGACTGGCAGCCGTGGCAGGTTGAGGAACGGCACCCGTGTACCCATATCCCACAAAGCCAGCAGCAGGGGAAGGAGCATAGGGATACTGGTCGTAGGCAGCAGTGGTGAACTGCGAGTAGGCTTGGCTTGCAGTTGTGTAGTCTATGTAAGGAGAAGTGATGGACTGGACAGGAGTTGGGATCACCATGCTGGGCTGAACAATTGCTTGAGGATAGATAAAGTGATGGGCCAGCCTGTAAGGAGAGAGAGAGAGAGAGAGAGAGAGAGAAACAGTCATATTGTTTCACTCAATAGTGAGTCCAGCCATAACTATGAAATGGGAAAGCAACAGCACAACTGAGGTTTAATTAAGAAACAAGGATTACTGAAATCATGGCAGGATTGACTGATACATTCTTAAGAATACATGGATCCATGAATAACGTAACACAGAAGCTCCTATTCAAACTTACAATTAGCCAACCTCTTCAGAAGTACTCTACACCACTCCCTTTCACAACAGTTAGTATTCCCCACATATTCATCAAAAGAGACTATTCTTTAACTGGGATGTCAAGACACATGGATTTCTTCAAACCTTAGTGTTTCCTTCAGCCTGTTTAGGTGAGCAGAGTTCTGTTTTTGCCCTGTCAAGATCCAGACTCAGTGAACCTCATGACCAATCTCGGACCATTGAGAAACCCAGGGTGTAACTACATGACACATCAAATGGGGGTCTAAGTGATCATAATTAACACATGCAGGGATGGGATGTTTAATTATTTTCCTTCTGCACTGCCAATGCTGGCACTAGAAAGCCCCCACGGGCACTTGACATTTGTTTTTGGAATATTTGGGAACAGGGCTGAAAAGGAAGGGAAATTCTTGTTGATTAACTCAGGGCCATGTTCACATGGTTGTTCTACACTGGGGTGCAAAATTTCTATTGGTTTGAGACCCATGTTGGCTTTGCATAGCATGTTCTGGGCAGCAGTCTGGATGGGACCAAAAATGGGCTTGATTTTCAGGGGTATGTGCAGTAAAATGTGAATCTCTGAAAGACTTGCCCTATTTTACTCCCTAATTCACCTGCACCTCACAATCAGGCCACATTTTTCTGCTATGGACTTGCAAAAGGCGTGCCATACTTTTCACACAAATGTTGGTTTGCATTTCTATCCCCGTTATGAGGAACGCTCTGAAAATGGATTTATGGAAGAGATTCCCCCCTCCCCAACCCCCAAGCAGCCAAATGTGCGCATCGCAGTTAGTGTTAAGCCTTGTGCAGCAGCCCACAATCATGGAAGCAAGATTCTCATACCGAGTCTAACTAGGCAGAGTTACTGCAAGGAAAAAAGGGCTAATTTCAAAATCTTGGAACTGAGTGGCCTCCTTTTATTACTGAGTATGCTAAGGAAAGGCCTCTCTGTTGGCTTTGATCTTCTTTCCAACTGAGTTTTGCTTTAATGGGGTGGATGTTAATACAGTGGCTTATTTGAAACCCCAAAATGGCCATCTGATGTTGTTCTGCAACATTTTGGAAATAGTTATTGTTCCCTCACTCAGGAAATTCCATCCCTCTTGAGTTAGGTAATGACTTAGCAAGCCCATTTGCACAATACGCTGAACAAGGTAAGTTTCACTGTTACCCTTGATTAGTTTTTTTGATGGCTTAACATGTTGGGCAAACCCAACCCATCTGAGAAGTCTATAGTTCACTGGATTGTGCTGTGTGCTTGGCTGTGTGCTATGTGCAGACATTAGGCAGCACAAACATGCTGCCAAACCAGAAGTGTCCAGCACTAGCCAGGACAATGATCTGCCATATACATCTATAGAAGCCACTTAAGAAAGATATGGACAATTGTATCTGTTTAGAGCATTTTGACTGCTATTGCCATATTCAGTTATACAATCTATTCCTTATCTTAAAAGCACAGAAACTATTGGGGGGGGGAGGAAGAGAGTAAATAAAATAACACTGTTATAGTTTTTCAACAAATTGTTATGATAAAGGACCCAATACAAATATACACGCACAGTTTATATGCACAGACAAGATGGGTCCTCAGCAAGGCCTAAAGTCATCATGGTATATGACAACGTATTCAAAGAAATCACACACACACTCCCCATTTTTGAAACAGTGGTCAGAAAGATCAGTCAACTTTCTCCAATCCACCATCCCGCCAGAGGTGTCAAGACTGCCATTCCAACAATAGGATGCTGGTTTGGGGAAGGCATGATGGGATGCTTTGCTGAAAATGGACAAAAATGAATTGATGATCTCGGGATTTAGTGATTAAAAAGGGTTGTTTATGGGAAGAAGGAAACCATGACAGGTAATTTGGGAGGGTGGAAATGATAATAACTATGTAGCTGCTGCAAAGAAGATCGGAGGTCACTTCTTTAGATATTTTGCTTAATAATTTGCTTAATAAATAATTTCCCCCTTTTCTTTCTCCTTCTTTCTTCTTTTTTCCTTGACTTTTACTGTTTCTCACTTTTTCTTTTATATTTTCATTTCTTTTTTCTAATTTTTTTTTTTACGTTTCTGTAGTTTTTAATCCCACATAAAATTATTTCTCAGTAAAAATTATGTTAAAAAAAGGAAAAGGCATGATGGGTTGAGGCTGAGGTTTCCACCCAAATGCTGTCTCCCATTTTCTTCTCGCAATACCTATGGGGTAATAGCATCAAAGCTCCCAATATTGTCTATTATCTGATGGGCACAGACTAATTTATTCTGGCTTAAATCATAGGAGGGGCCTTTTTCAAGTTTATGTAACATGTCAGGCTGTTGTCAAGGTCTCCACATTTAGACATGTACTGCCACAATGCTGAAGGCTTTTTTTACAGGACAGCAGTGATTTCAGGGGTCATCTGTTGTCAAGCATGAAATGCTTATTCTATTTATTTTTCCTCCTCCCACCTCCTATTCCTATTTCTCTGAAGTCACCAAACAAGCACCCTTCTTATTCCTTCTACAGGCTGGGACTTGTACAGGTTTCAGCTGAAAGGGCACCAAAAAAAGAGAAATACTTAACTGAGTGCAGCTGAGCATTTAGCGCTATGCTCTATTAATTCCTTTTTAGAAGAAATAACTAAAAGCAGGCTGGAGGGGGAAGGGGCATCTCAGGGGGCTAGAAGGGATGGCAGAGAAGATCTTCACCAGAATATTTTCTGGTTAAATAGTATATTTTGACTAATTTTGCAACAGGCAAGCTCCTCCCTCCAAGTGGCCATTCTGAGGAAATGACCCACATACCCTCAGATTTCCAAATGCCCCCAAATGGTGCCTACCTGCACCAAACCCTTTGAATCACTCATGGAAAAAGGCAATTATTCTACAGGTCTTGAAATACTATTTCAGTTGCTAAAGTCCCATCTATTTCTTCACTATTTGATAATCAAGGTGATAATCAGCAGCTATATATTTATTAATATGTACAATTTAATAAATTCTACATGGCATATATGTTTGCATTTTAATGGGCAAGAATCACTAGATGGGGCAGAAAGACACTTTTTCATCTGTACCAATGTGGCATTTATCACAAGGTTCTCTTGGGCAGTCCCAAATCCCTGAGAAAAGCAAATTTCACAGATCTGCAAAAGTGTGTTTCCTGTTCTTATGACTCTGAGCAGTTTATTATCCATGTTGCATACACTTGTGCAGTTCACCCATTCCTACCATGGCACCATCCAAAAGTATTAGGGCTGCAACTTCCATAATTGGAGAGAGAAGGCTAAAGAAGAGAAGGAGAGAAGGCTGAAAATTATGGGAGCTAAGCTGCAAAGATTTATAGGTAGTCTTCAACTTATGACCATTTGTTTAACGACCATTTGAAGTTACGACAGCACTGAAAAAAGTGACTTACGACTTGTCCTCACACTTATGACTGTCACAGGGTCCCCGCAGTCACGTGACCAAAATTTGGGCTCATGGCAACTGGCACGAGTTTACAACGGTTGCAGTATCCTGGGACCACGTGTTCACCATTTGCAACCTTCCAAGGGACTTCCGACAAGCAGTCAATGGGGGAAGCTGGATTTGCTTAATGAACACGTGATTCACTTAATGACCATGGTGATTCGCTTAACGATTGCATCAAAAAAGGTAAAATCAAGGGTGACTCACTTAATGACCGCATCGCTTAGTGACAGACATTCCAGTCCCAATTGTGGTTGTGAGTCAAGGACTACCTGTAGAAGGTACCAGGTTGGGGATGGATATTCTAGTCCAGTCTTCTCCAATATAAGTGCCATTCTGATGTGTGGACCAACTGCAAGACTTCTCAGCTATGGTCATAGTGTCCATGCAATATTAGGAATTGATAAACAGCTGGTGGACACCCAGAATTTGGTAGGCCAGTCTAGATTTTTTCATCATGGACAACTGATTGCAAGTACACTACTGGGTTATGAGGTTTCCCCGCACACATATAACCCCCCTCCAAAAAATCTGAAATTGATTCTGCTGCTGTCCCAAATGATAATAAAGAATAACCTGGACTTGCTGTTAAGTACAGTAGTTTCAAAGGTGGTTTCCATATCTTATTTAATATCAACCCTTAGCGATGAATAATGGATGTTGGCAACTAAGCCATAAATAGTGTTAAGGAATGGGGAATGGGAGGCTTATTTAGACCAGACAGAGAAATGAGCAAACAATTCCTTTAGCCATAGTTAAGACAGGTGGCTTTATATTGATTGCACTTAAACAAATCTATATTTAGCCTGCTGGGGGAATAGAGAAAGAAGAATCGTTTTCAGCAGAGACGGAGCCAAAGGTAGAAACTACTTGTGCCCAGGAACGTCTCTGTAATTTCTTTAGAACTACATTCAACATAATAAATTTATTTTTATGTATCTAAAGGCTTCCTCACCTCCCTTGCCTTAGAAGTCTAGGATGTTAGTTTTGTTTTAGCTTCTATTCCACAGTCATATACCATAGCAATTCACATATTGCTCTAAAACGATTATGTATCTTTTCCTCTAGTCAAGCAAATATTATAATCAAGTTAGATAACTTGCAGTACTCCAAATGCTACTGTGCTAGCCTGGCATCTCCCACCATTGATTATGCTTCCTATGAACGCTGGAAGTGATCTCCAGTGCCTATCCTTGGAATAAGCCTTTACAATTCTTCTTACATCTATCTTAGATATTCATTTAATATGACCCAAATCTCAAAGCTTTTCTGCTTTTAAAACAGGCTGAAGGAAGTTATGCTTCCTATGAATGCTGGAAG